TGGGACAGCTTATGGACTAAAGTCTCCAACTTAACCTTCTTGCCTCAAATAGTACGTACTCTTGGCCTTGATAGGTTTTCCATATAGTTCACCAAGCCCAGAGGTTCATAGGCTCTCTTTTACATGTGGAATATAGAGAAGAATTTTAAGTCAAACATCAATGCTTGTATTCACTTGACTATTAAAAGATTCGTTAAAGAGCTTCGTTTTGCTTAGAAGCTTATCTTAGAAACAGTTTGATGAAAACATGGACTCATTTTCTGGTAGTCCTTTGCTTGAGAATGTGCTGTGATTATTTATCACAGCATATATTGAGGGAAGAGTGTGAAAATTGCTAATCAAATGTGTACTCATCGTCTCTCCTTGGAGAATTGCACTTGGAAGACTCATTTGGAAATGGTCTTGTACTTGCCTGGAGAGAGAAGAACTCGGTTTTGGGCTTATTATGGGTCATAAGCAATCGATTCGGATAGATGAACCAAGAGATTGTAAACTACAGAAAATTTATTGATTTATCATAGGCATGCCAAAGTTCTTTCAGTGAACTATCAAAGTCTTCAGGTATGCTTGTCATTTTCAGAAAAACAAAGTAAAGAAAAGGGAAAACCACAACTCTATGCACCGATGTTGCTGATTAAACTATAGTTATGAAGGAAAATAAATATATAGTGAACCTGTTTGATGAGAATTGTTGCAGCTTGTCTAGCTAAGAAAATGATTAGTTGACTTGCCTTGCGAATTCTGATGAGTCTTTTCTGTGAAACAGACTGGTTTTTTGTTAGAAAAGGGAGCGTTCAGTCCTGAATGGAGGGGGTGGGGAGAGCTCAAACTCCAGGCCTAGCATGCAGGATGGGGATGGCATGCTACCATAAAAGATCAAGGCTAACCTAATTAGATTAGAAAAAACATGATAATCATCAGTGTGAACGTTGCATTAATGACCTTTTCCTCCTTGTATTCATCTATAATGCATTAGGGCAGTGATTTGTGTGACATTTCTTATATTCTTCTTCCCTCCATGTTTTAAGCGCAAAGATGATTTCAATCTGTGAGATGATGCGTCGAAGCGCAAATGTTTGACATTACAAACTGGGCTAACGAAATGGGAGCTTCCAGGAATATCCCACTTGCTGGTGACACCAGAACGCCTCTGACACACACGAAGAAAAGAAAGGAAAAAAGCTCGAATAGTCTGTCATTATAGCATACACTGAGTTGAGATATCCATCAGTAGCTTCACCAGCCCTCACAAACACTCCCAGCAGAAATTAACTGCAGATAACATAGCTAACACTTCTGAGCTGATTTATTTCTACTCATTAACCTCACCTCATGACGCGGGGTGCATATCGACAAGGAAGCAGTCCAGACGTGTCAAATAAGATATATCAACAATGTATAACTTTTGATCATTGGATATCAGATTGAAAAATCCTAGTTATTTCTTTTTCTGTACGGGCGTTGCGTCTCCTCCTCGATAATTAGGTTTTGAATCTCGTGCGTTATGCATTTGGTATCCATCTTGTTCTCCTAATAATACTGTGACGTCATTGGAGACATATCAGCTTTTTCTAAGCCACCGTGAGCAGAGAAGCAGATCAATTAGTTCATTTTCCCTCATATAATGGCAACTGATCGATCGCCCCAGCTCAATCTTTCAAGCCACTGATCTGATACTCTCATATGATTCACTATTCCAGATGACTTAGCAAATTATGATATAATCTCTTGCATCACTCAATTCATTTAATAGAATGATCAACAGAAGTTGCAGAAAGCCAGCCATTTCTGCCAGGCCTAGAGTATAAATCAACCTTGAACAAAAACTTGATTAGACTGAATAATAGGTAAATGAACTGATCAAAACAACAACAAAAACTTTCAGTTCTTGCAAGAGCTTGCTCGGAGAGGGCCCTGCCTGAAAAATAATGAAGGTAGAGCACAGAAATGTAACAGGCCATTTCCCTTTTTTCACATGCTTTGACATAGCTTTAGGGAATGTGAAGTATAAATTATCCAAGCAAGCACTTCATGGATGGGAATTAAAATGCTGCAATAAAAACTTTGTAAAAAAGGGAAAACTTCAAGGTACAAATCTCTGTTACGATGTTCAAGAAAAGGAGCATCTTGTTTTTCTTTTTTCTTTTGCTGATGGATTAATTGCTTTTGCCTTCAAGTTCTTTCACTCAATTTCCAAACTCCTCCATTTCCCATGCAATAGGAAAACCACACATTAATGGCAACCAACCTAACAGGTCGATCAATATACATAAAAGCTTGAACTCTGGCTTGGTCGATCAATGTCAAACTTAATTAGCACCAAAGCCTGGAGGTATAAAGCCATACATTAAACTTACAATCCTCCAGCGAAAGTCCATAGGAGTATCCTCTCTTCTCACAGCCACAGATTAAGCAGCAATTCGAGCCAGGAAATTAACCGCATATAATGATGAGTCTCGAAATCCAAAATGTTTAGATATAAGAATGATATGGAGAATAAATCTGTTCGCCAGCCCTCGAGCAATCGCTATGTAGATATCATGTGCAGCGCCTGTATTTCATCGCTATCCTTTTTGAAATCACCATGGAGACGCCCTACCTTCATGTAAACACGATAATGTTTAAGACCTGATTGCAATAGCTAATTGATGCTCAGCTTGAGTAGGTGGTATTGTAGCTACTATCATAGTTATTAAACTCCGTCTACGAGCTTGCTATCCGATTGATCTTCAATGAAACCCGCATTCCGATTGACCTTAAAATAATATTGTTTTTAGAATTGATTTCAGATAAATTCATTAGTTTATCTAATAATTCACGACGACAACTTGAACCCTCGATCGGGAGAGACCATGGGATCTAGCACACTTTGATTGAAGAAATTGATTCAATTTTGATAGGTAAAAAGCTGAGTTGCCGGCGATGTACCAAAACTGACTCCGATCCGATGGATTCAATCTTAGATGCTGATTTCACCTTAGATTAATCATATACTTTTGTTGAATACAAACAAATTTTAGAATTAGGTAAGACCTCCAGATGTCTTTTGTTGAATACCATAGCCATGTGATAATTACCTGCCATTACATTATCCTAAATATGCCATGATTGGTGCGTCCAATTTTCTTCACCGGTCAATGCTCAACCTATAGCGTGATAAAACGTCGTCGATCCATAAGTTTACTCTATGTATTTAATATGAAATAAATATTTTTACTTTAATTTTGATTTGATTTTAATGGAGCCGTTATTGAATTTTGCTAATAAAGTTAGGTTTAAATGGAAGAGATTATATTTAAGGATTAATTACCTAAAAACCAAAATTTGACTAGAAAACGTAGGAGCCATCAAATTTCCACATCGACCATGAATGAAACCACCATTTGGTCATATGACACGACAACCCAGGGCCCCACAAAAAGAAAACGACACCATGTGGTCCCCCCAACGGTGACGTATGTCACTGGAACGTTACCGTTTTTATGTATCTTCCAAACAAAGACGGATGCTGCGAGCGGGGTAACTAGGATAAACAATAATTTAGGTCCTGTAAGTTTTAGATTTTCCACATTCATCCTTAAAAAACTTTATTTTTTTTCAATTTTTTTCTATAATTTCCAAAAAGGTCTCAGTGATCAATTTAGAATTTAATAAGTTTTCCATTTTTTTCATACAGGTTTCCATGTTTTGTTGTTGTTTTTACCTTCCAATCCTGCAAGATTCTAAAAATAAATTAAGGAATAAATAGATCTATCTAATATAAAATATCTATACTGTTTTTTTAAATAAATATAATATTATAAAATATAAAATTTCATATATAAATCCATTAAATCTAGAAGAGCTAATACATGATCTACCCAAGCATTTATTATTTAGGCGAGGTGGGTGTTTGATAGCACGAATTTATCCTTTTATTTTTTTATGGTTTGATATTAAAAATAAAAAATAATTATTTTAGTATATTTTAAAATAAAAAATAATTTTAAAAATATCATACACTATAATGCCATATTCATATTGTACTATAGTTAAATAAACTAAACAAATTCCTCTTTCAATATTAACTTGGATTCTTCTCTTAACTTTTCTAAATATTTTATTGAACATTTATCTTGAAATAGCTAATAAAAATAATATATAACATGAAACAAAAGGTCACTTCATTCACCCTCAATCCTTTTCCTTTATTTTGTTTTTTGAAAAATCTCAATCATGTGATAGCATTTTATAAAAATTCTAAGAATCCACTTTAAAAGTTGACAAAATATTTAATTATGCTGAATTAATTAATAAAAAATATAACTATAAACATGGTTTTGGAGCATCATAATGATATCAATATAAGATATAAGCAAATGTGTATTAACAAATATATTAATAGAATAATCATTGATTGCCACATTTTAACAACCACACCAATGTAACAATAAAAATACAATATATACAATGAATATTATTTGATAATGTACTTGTGATTACTTTTTAAATAACTTAATATCAACACATTAAAAAAAATTAAAAAAATTAAAAATATATTAATTTAAAATTAATGAAACAAACAATTAAAGAACACATCTTGAATTATTTTATAAAATTAAAAGGAACAAATTATTATTTTTTAAACACAATTTTACATATTTTTTAAAGAAACACTTGAAAAAAAGGATAAAATGATGGTGATAAAAGTAATATATGATAATTAATTAAATTTGATCGATTGAATTTATTTATTAATTAAATTTAAATTAAACTTTACAATTGAATGAACGTGACAATTGAGAAATGTAAAAGCATAAAAGCTAAGATAGTAAAATGTAAACTTATGGAATCCACAGAAACTAGAATGTAGTTTTACCATTCATAAATAACATTGAATTACCATGAAAGTAAAGTATATATTAAAAATTAAAAAAAGTTTTACCATTATTAATAAAGTATGTAAAAAAATATAATTTTATAAGGGGTTAATTTTTAATTTGCTTAAGCTAACTTATCACTAAAGCGTGACTCTTGCAGTCTCAATCTCTTTTAGTCTTTCCCTTTTCCCTTTTCTGGATTCTCTACCTTCTCTCCTCGTCTCTCTACTAGGGTTTTCCAAGACTCAGAGAGACAATCAAGCAGCTGGAAAGCGAAGAAAAGCAAGGACTCAAATCCCATCAAGAGAATTGCAAGAAAGAATCAAACCCTGAACATTTGACAAATCTAAGGATCAAAGAAAGAGAGGAACAGGCGGATCATTAGTGTATAAACCTTTGCATTTTGTTGGGGGTTTTCAAGAAAATGGACAGATCTAGATCCAAGAGAAACTACTACTATGACCATCAAGATTATGACAATGACAACCTCAACAACAACAACAACATGACTAGGACGACCAAACCCAGATACAACAATAACAACAACAACAATTATTACCGTCACCGTGGACAAGGAGGCAACAACATGTTCAACAACAACAACAACAGGTTTTCAAGAACCCAACAGCAGCAACCACAGCAACAGCAGCAGCAACAAGACCAATCATCGTCATTAATGGTGACAACAAGTTACAGAATTTTATGTCATGATATGAAAGCAGGAGGAGTAATTGGGAAGTCGGGGAGTATAATAAAGTCAATTAGGCAACACACAGGGGCGTGGATTAATGTTCATGAGTTGATTCCTGGTGATGAGGAGAGGATAATTGAGATTTCAGATACGCGTAGGAGAGACCCAGAAGGGAGAATGCCTTCCTTTTCGCCAGCGCAAGAGGCGCTCTTCTTGATACATGATAGGATTCTTGAGAATGATATGCAGTATGGGGTGGTGAGTAGTGGTGTTGGTGGGTTGGATGAGGATGAGTATGTGGGGAGAGGAGGAAATAGAGTGGCTACCAGGTTGGTTGTTTCTAGAATGCACGTGGGTTGTTTGTTAGGAAAAGGGGGGAAGATTATTGAGCAAATGAGGATGGAAACAAAGACCCAGATTAGGATTTTGCCTAGAGATCATACTTTGCCAAGATGTGTTTCCATGTCTGAGGAGATTGTTCAGGTTTTATGTTTCCCCAATTCATCTCTTGTGCTGTGCTTGTGACTGAATATTACTGCTGCCAGGACCTTTTTATTGAACAAAATGTTGGATGGAACTTGATTTTGGTGAAACTGAAACTGAAACTGACCGTATCAGGGGAGTTAGTGGATTGATTTGTAAATGACTTGTGCAATTTTAAATGCAATGGATTTAATGCAATGTTTGGGAGTTACGAAACATTATACTTGAGTTTTGGCTTATTATCGAGGACTGAGAATATCTGGGGTTTTCTTTGATTGATTGTAAGATGATTGTGACGTTATGAAATTTATAGGATTTTTAAGAAATCATTACTGCATTGCTATTTAGATATTTGATTTGATCCATTTGAAACTGGAAAAGAGATCAATGATTGGAAGCTGATGAGTTAGAGCTGTCAATTGTTCAATTTCATTGAATTGTGGCTGGTTGTGCTTTCTAATGTGTTTGGTGTCTTTAATTTTTTGATTAGAGAACCAGATTGTTGAGTTACTTTTAATAAGATTTTCAGGATGTGAATTATTTCCATATGGCAGTTAAAGTTTTGACTGCACACTCTGGATATTGGTTCCTCTGCTGGCCCTTGATATGATTGAGTTTGTTGTAAAATGCATAATTTGATGTTATGTCATGAAGGTACTAATTTGAGATTTCTTTCCAATGGAGGGTTTTGGAAATGCATGAAGCTACAAGTGATTTTTCCTCTCTTGAAGCAAATGTAAAGCCAGGATAAATTGTTTCTATTTGAATTACCATGTTCAGTGCCTCATGCTTTGTACTTTCCTCGCAGGTTTTAGGTGATGTCAGTGCTGTGAAAAATGCCGTTGCGATTATTTCATCAAGATTGAGAGAGAGTCAGCATCGTGACCGCAGTCATTTTCATGGACGAGTTCACTCACCAGAACGGCTTTTTGATGATGATTATGTTCCTCACATGAATACGCGTCGTTCCTCGATGGAGGGACCACCCTCTTTTGGCTCACGAGTACCTGGTTCCAACTACAGAAACAATAACTATTCCTCACGAGCATCTGGTTTTGCTGTTGATTCTGGGACTGATCCCATTGCTGACAGTGCACAGCCCTTTTATGTTGAGGACCTTGTGTTTCGAATCCTTTGCCCAATTGACAGACTTAATAGAGTTGTAGGAGAGTCTGATGGCATAGTGGACTTGCTTCAAAATGAAATTGGTGTGGATGTTAAGGTTGCTGACCCTGTCTCTGGTTCTGATGAACAGATAATCACCATTTTCTCTGAGGAGGTACTCTCCATCTCCTTGTTTCTATTTAGTATCAGGGGTGCAGAAGAGTCTATTCTGCCTATAAAGCTATGTTTGCCATTTTATGTGATGATTTATTCCTTCCAGTTACACTTAATGACATTGCTTCCTGGATTATCAGTTGTGTATTTATTCCTCTTCAAATTTGAGTTTTATATCCTATTATATTTAGGTAGATTTTCATTTTCTTCCCGAGCTCTGCAACATTGCTCACCTCCTCTGTGAAAGGTTCTAACCTAACATATCTGTTGGTTTACATCTATGCTTAGGGTCCTGATGATGAGCTGTTTCCTGCTCAAGAAGCTTTGTTACACATCCAAACTCGCATTGTTGATCTTGTTCCAGATAATGACCACACAACAACAACTAGGTTGCTTGTCCGGTCTAGTGAGATTGGGTGTTTAGAGGGAAGAGATGCCTCATTATCTGAGATAGAAAGGTTAACTGGTGCAACAATAGAGATCTTGCCAAAGGAAAAGCTTCCGTCATATCTATCGGGGATAGATGAGATTGTACAGGTTTGTCACGCAACATAATGAATAAACACCATTGAAACAGAGACTTGTATATGCTTGATGTTAAATGCCACTTAAGACCACCTAATGAATAAGCACAAATGAAACAAAGACTTGTATGATGCTGGATATGTAATGTCTCTTGAGACAATTGGATGACTCTGTTGTTAAAATAAGTTTCTGGTAAACTAAGGGGTAGTTTTTCATGGAGAAAATGCTGTACCAGAGTCCCAGATTATCTTATCTGGGGCACAAGTGCAGGGCAGTTTCCTTATGAATGGATTTTTCTAGTCGAGTGATATTAATACCTGCAGGGTTGGAAATGAACAGTTGTGAGCGCACCCTCCATGTTGATATGCTTCTTTTCATGAATGGATTTTCTAGTCGAGTGATATTAATACCTGCAGGGTTGGAAATGAACAGTTGTGATATTGATATGCTTCTTTTCATGAATGGATTTTCTAGTCGACTGTTATTAATATGCCTGCAGAGTTGGAAGTGAACAGTTGCAGGGTACCTGCCATATGTGTGTATTGAAAGATAAATGAAGCTCTGGCATCTGGGTTCCCATGAGATCAAATGAGAGCCTTGCGAATCAGACTTCTATAATTTCTGAGTGATTTTGACTTTCTCTACAGATTGAAGGGGAAATAACGGCAGCTCGTGATGCTCTTGTTGAAGTGACATCAAGACTTCGGAGTTACATATACAAGGATGTCTTTGAAAAGGACCTGCCACCACCTGTGTCTGCACCAGGCCTTGCTGGAGGAATGCAGGCAGCTTCTCCAAGCCCAACTCCAGCTCGTGAAGGGCCCATTGGTGGTGATCCTCCTGCTAGCTACCAGAATGTACAGTCTGCTGCAACACCACAGCCATCGAAGGTTCTTTTTTATCGCTTTCTATTCGAGTACTCATTATCCTTGTTATCAAGGAAATTGGACAAACAGCTAAACGAACTTAAACTTGGTCCACTCTTTGAAATTGTTTAATGAATATGACTTCTTAAATAAGGATCAGATGAAGTTGAGATGAACGATTTCCCTCCCTCAACTTCTCTGCTGAAGGTAAATATGAACTATTTCTGTCCTGTGTGCTGCCTATGTGGAGTGCCCTTATAAACCTTGTAGCAGACAGCTTCTTTCCGCTGTTCCTGCTAGCCTTATGTTTTATAAAGGATTTTAAACCTTTTTTGCAGGATGCATCTCTATATTCTATCAATTGCCTGAGGTAGCTATTGCCCTTTCAAAAAGATCGGCATAGAGGATTAAGAAATGAATAAAAGTCATAGAAAAGTTTGAGTATAGGACACAATGATAATAATAAAAAGACTCTGAAATCCCTCTTCTCAATCTATCATTAGATTTATGGCGAGTGTCCTGCCTAAAGCAACAACCAGAATAATAAAGGAGCAGAGGGATTGAGTTAAAAACATTTATAGTTCTAGCTTTTTTTATTTGAGATTTCTAGAAGGTGAGAAACCCTTTGTTTTGTAGGATGCTAGAGGATCCAGTGTTGAAGCAGTGAAGCAGAATGAAAGTGAACGTCGTGAAGAATTGCCTATTACTACGATGAATAGGTAGTCAATTCAGCTTTACTTTACCATGTTCGGCCATGTGTTCTTTCTTGATAGGCAATATCTCAAGAGCAATGTCTGATTTCTACTTTGTAACATTCATCTTATTTTCTTGTTAGAATCCCTGTAACACTTGTCACTAGGAGTACACTTGAAGTTGTCATACCAGAGCCTGCGGTCCCCAAGCTCATTACAAAATCAAAAAACAAGCTTGCACAGATTAGTGAGGTGAGCCTACTCTTGCAGCAAGTTTCTGAAGATCTTTTTTATTTATTTTAAGTGTGAAGTTTTTCTAGTTGACCTCACATAATGGGTACAGTTATCTGGAGCCAATGTAACCCTCGTTGAAGATAGACCGGATGTGAAAGAAAAGATTATAAAAATATCTGGAACACCAGAGCAGGCAGAGAGAGCTCAGAGCTTGCTTCAAGGCTTTATTTTAAGCAGTAAGTCCTTCTGTATCTTTGCTTTTATTTATGTGTCTGCGCATTTGGGCGTTCAGAACAATGAGCACTCTTGTAAACTCAAATGAAAATCTGGATCATTGTGCTTCAATTCAGCACAAGAAGATGGACCTTAGGCTAATCAGTGAAGCCGACGAACTTGAAGTTGGAGCTGGCTTCAAACGGGAGGGTTCCTGATGCCCCGGGTATACATCCCTGGAGAATAAGGAGCATTGAGTCCCCTTTTTTGCATGTATTTTTCATTCGGTTGCTGTTTTAAATCATAAATCTCGAGAGCAAGAATTCATCTGTAAATGTAACTATGGGAACTCTGCAATGCTTCAAATTTTCCTATATGAATTGCAGTTGTTCTGTTGTTGTCGTTTCTTAATGTATTTCTCCTTTGCATCAATTGCCATAACTTGGGCTTACGATTTCTAACTTGCCATCATTGTCATGAATGAATTAGCAATTTTCAACAATACATAATTTTCTAATATGTTTGTCAAACATATACAATAAAAACATTTGTATTGGGTAAAAATATGTAAACAATATATATAATTACGAAAATGGTGAAAATAAATAAAAAAAGAACTTGAATTATCAAAAAAGTTCAAAAATTAATTTTATAAGTGACTTGATATTGGGCTATCATTGACATGTTATTTGCAATATAATGATCAATAAATTACCTTTATATGTGATTCCTTAATAAAACTGATTTAAAAAAAAAATAGTTGAAATGATATTGTTTCAGTAAGTTATCACTGTTTTCATCGTATTAACTTTTAACTTGATTTAATATAAAGGCACAGTTTGGTAATATAGTAAAATTATATATTTTTTTAAAATTAAATTAAATTTTTGAAAAATATTTAAATTAGTATTTTTTTAATATTTTATTATTATTTTAATGTGCTAATATTAAAAATAATATATATATATTTTTTTTTTCAAGCCAAAATATTTAAAATAACACATACTATAAAAATAAAAATAAAAAACCTAGCTTCGATTATTCTGATAAGATATTGAGTTGAAACGTAAATAACACCGAATTTAATAACACGAAATTAGTTGCGATTTTCTCTATTGTTGATATCGTACGGATGTGACTTCAGCCCCTAAATAAAGAAAACAAACCTTGAAAGTTAGGGCTCGACTACATTTCATGGGCTCAGATTCAGCCTTTTATATATTGGGCCAGGTTAGTGAAAGATGAGGGTTATAAAGCCTGAACTCAAATAAGTTGGGCCTTGAAGTTTCAAACGCTTGAAGCCTTAAACAACATGCTCTTGTAAAGATTGCTCAAGGCTTGAAAACCCTATACACTAGACTCTTGTGATGCCTAAAACCCTACCAACAAACTCCTTCAAAGAAGAAAGCCACTTTCTCTTGTCAGTTTTTCTCGAAGTGTTGCTCAGGATAATCTAGTTCTAGAAGTATTTCTATCCCATTAAGCTTGTCATTTGGCTAGTGTCCAGTGATTAAAGGGATAAAAACAAAAAAAAAGTGCTTGGGGGGAGGGAGTCCCAAGCGAGTCTTGCAAGGATAGGACCATTCATTGCCGACGCTTTCTTTTCTGGGGTCAGTCTTAGCCGTCTTGCAGGGAATTGGTTGCAGGTGTGTAGTCCGTGCCCCTACCTTTCACCTTTAGTGAGGGGCAATGTGATCCATGCTAAGTGTCCCCGAGCTAAGAGCAGGGCGGATATAAAAACGTGTGTGATTAAAGAGATATGAATATAAATTAAATTACTTACTGTAAGTAATTTAGGCATTTTTTTTTCTTTCTAGATTTTGAGTTTTATGCTCTGGCTATTGTGGGATTGCTGTTGATTTAGTGTGTTGGTTTATTTATGCTAACAAATCTTGAGTTACTTTCATTTTTCATAACCTTATTGCAAGAGATGAAATTTCTTGATTTCTGTGCTCTTATTTTTGGGTTCTGGGTTTTAAAGCACTTACCTTTTTGTTGCATTTTTCTTTGCTTATTTAAGATTTTGTTTTGTTGGTATTTGTAGCGACCGAATTTTGGTTTGTTTTGAAGCAGGGACTCTTTGTGGTGATTATGGCTTGTATTCAGCACAGCAGAAATGCTCTACGGCGAATTATTGCTAAAGAAACCAGCTTGAAGAGCTCTGATGGTGCTATACATCCATTGTTATATGCTTGTCAAGGCATTAGATATAAGAAGTTAGAAGTTATTCTTACAACAGTAAGTAGGAAATATTTCATTTTTGGGTTTTTTATCAGGTTATGTGTCGGTTCAGATATTGATGTTCATGCTGGATTTTGATTTGCACTTGCAGAGCATAGAGAAGCTTGGGAAAGCTGGTCAGACAGTTAAGGTTGCGCCGGGGCATTTTCGCAACCATCTGATGCCCAAATTACTTGCTGTCCCTAACATCGAAAAGTTTGCGCATCTTATCAGGGAGCAACGCAAGGTTTTGCTCAAATTTCTTGCATTTATTTTATCTAGTTCCATGTGTTTGTTAGTGTTTTTTTATGTGGTGAAAGTAGCTGGTCTTGAATCTTGATTTTTGTTCAGCATGAATTTTTTATCTGCATTATGTTGTAAAGTTGCCAATTAAAGTTTTGCATCCTCCCGTCCCTTTGGTTTTGTTTGAGAAATGTCAAGTGATTGGTGTTAAGCTTGTGATGTGTTGTGGATCAGATTTACCAACCCGAGGAAGAAGAGGAGGTGAAAGTAGTTAAAGACACAATGGAAGATAAGATGAAAGAATACGAAACAGCAGCAAAACGCTTAGTAAAAGCCCAGTTGGTTAGTAATTTATCTTTTTAAAAGTATATTGAGAATATGAAACATTTTAAATAACAAGTTGGCTTACTCTTACCGGTAATACGAGGTATCTGACCGGTCTTTCATGATTGTAGGCTTTTAGGGTAGGGATCAATACTGCAAAATTCCGTGCCCGTGAATCAAAAGATGACCCAATAGAAATTCTTTCACCAGTGACAAAGGATGATATTTTAAGAGAGGTATATCATTCTTCATTTTTAATTTCATTTTCTCTTAAGAATGCTGTAAAGTAATATGTTTTGTCTCTATCCATGAAAATAACGTAGGTGGATATTGTTGCATGAGCAAGTTCTGGCAACATATCTAAAACCATCTATAAAACCCAGTTTGGCAATTCTCTTTTAGACACTGCGATCTATGATATAGGTTCTGTTTTATACATACTAAAATTCCGTAATTTGTAGTTAGGTGCAGCATCCTTGGTATGCTAAACGGATAGTTTTTGCCTGACTGGTGGGATGTGTGCTAACATGGTTTCTGTACATCTCAGGTGACAAGGCAATTCAATGTGCAGATTGAACCTGACAACGTGCATCTTCCATCACCTTTGACTGCTCTAGGAGCGTTTGAGGTGCCACTACGCTTCCCAAAGTCTATTCCGTTGCCAGAGGGAAAGGTTAAATGGACACTTCAGGTCAAGATTCGGGGTAAATAAATATTACCTCATCATCAAATTCTTGATGAACGTTTAGACAATACTATTGTAGAATTCTTGTGACGAGCTTGATGCTTCAACCCAGCACATCTTGAATCCTGCGATGTCCAATACACTTCTTCAATAGTCGATCCTTACATAAGTTATTGTGGGATGAATTTTGATTGTAGTAAGTTGGATAAATCTGTATTTTTATCTTTTTCCAGTATAATAAAATTACTTAATTACATTTAAAAGCCAAAAAACAGAAGGTTAAACTAACATTCAGGCCCTGTATTTTATTAAACAATTAATTAATTTATCCCCTTTATTACATATTTCCTAATTGGTTTCTTAAAATTAAGACGAAAACTATGAGAACATACGCAAGAAAAGTTAATCCTATTACTAGATTGATCAACACATTCTTTTTATTGTTACATATAACATCAACATTAGTTAGTTTCAATACGTTGATTAGTTTCATCGTGTGCATAAAAGAAACTATTATTTGTAGAAAAAATTAAGGAATCCAATGGAGCTAGGTTTTGTATGCATTGGCCTTGCAAGCACTGAGTTACAATTATTATAAACCCAGCATGATTTAGGACTCAGCTAACCTACCTCTTAACCTGGGTAAATTTTTTAAAAAAATATAATTTGATTTGATCTTGTTGATTCGAATGAGCCAATCTATAACCATCTGACTCAATTAAAATCTAATTTTATATCTTTTTTAAAAAAAATCTAAAATAATTATACTTTTTACAACTCAGATTAACCTTTTTAATCATAACCAGACCGAGTTTAATAGGGAGAAGCAGTCTTTTCCATTTATGTAATCACGCAAATGAACACTGTATTTAGTACTCCAGCTTTCAACAATCTAACTAGAGACAACGTGTGAAACTTTGTTCTGTAGGATACATTCATGAACATATGTACGAAAGTTTTCTCCTCTACGACCTTGGAGAAGACGATCTTGCTACCAAGCCGTTTGAGGACTTGTTTTTTATCCTACAATTTTCCTTTGACATTAGCAGAGAGCTTCCTAGACTCTATATCTTTTCTTGCGATCCTTGAGATAATCATCTAGACAAAAAGAATGTGGCTGAAAGTACACAGGGTTTAAAAACCTTGTGTGAGACAATGGCATTCCAAATATTTACACACAACAATGCAATGTAAAGCCCGATCCATGAAATTTCTTATAGAATCTCTCTAAGAATTGCAAATAATTAAGATACAAATTAACCTTGGATTTTCCTAGGGATATTGTGATTAAAAAGAGTCAAAATCTTTGGCTGGAAACAGTTGCTGTAAAGCATCCTACAATGATCTTCTCTTTTTGGATAGAAAATCTATCATTTTCAAATGGTTTTAGTGATGAAGCGGGTGTAAAGTATGTTTTTGCAGTGGACGTTCTAGGACCATGGAAAACCCATTATAACGTAGGCACCATATGCTTTAATGGCGGCCCAGAATACTTGGAAAGGTGCACAGCAACATGTTATTGAGAAGAAAGATGCTCTGAATTTACAATTCTCGTGGCAATGGATGGATAGTCATTATTGGAAGGAAGAAAGCTTTTACAAAAAAATCAAATCAGATATTAAGAGTGATTCATTAATTTCTTGGTCTTCCTACTTTTAACCTATACGACAAATGCCCAAATCAAGAAATAAATTATATATGTTCCCTAAGCCATGCTTTTAAAAAAAAACTAAAGTCGTTTCTTCATGTTTTAATATATAATTTATATTATTTCAAATAAAATTTATACAAACTTGAAATTTAAACATGTTTATATTACATTTTACTTAATTTTATTAAATAAAATAAAAATAATAAAATTTATACTCTGATATAATATCAAAAATTATCTTAAATTAATTTTAAATATTAAATAAAATAAAAATAATAAGATTTATACTCTGATATAATATAAAAAATAATTTTAATTTAAAAGTTTAAGTTGTTAATTAAGATGTAATATATTATTTGTATTATTCTTTAATTCATTCAAAGCTCTTCTTGATCTCGCCCCGCGTATTAATATAAATTTCTCATGAATAATGTAATTTTTTATGGAGGATTCCTTGAATATAATATTGCCTTATGGATAGCAAGTCATTGGAAGGAAGAAAACTTTACTAAAATCAGATCTAGTATAAATATCAAATTGGATATTGAAAGTGATTAATTTCTTGGTCGTTCTACTTTTAACCTATGTGACAAATGCCCATATCAAGGAAGAAATCATGGTGATTTAGCCTGTATGCTGTCATTTAAAAGATTAAGGGAGGTTTTAATATATAGTTTTAAGTAAAAGATTTTTAGGTTTAAAACTTATACATGTTTATATTATATCCCGTACTTTATTTTAAGAAATCATCTTAATTTAAAATTTTAAACAGTTATATAAAATCCTAATATATTATTTATATTAATATAAATCTCTCATGGATAATTAATGTGATTTTTATATACGGAGAATGATCCTCGAATATAATATTGTCTTATGAATTTCTTCCAGTCAACTTTGAACAAGTACTCTCATCGAGAATTATATAATAACTCCATTTCTATATACATATGATAGGTAGTAGCTAGCCAAGCAATGAAGTTATAATTGGATTGGTCATCATCATGGCATTTTTCAACTGCTGATCGGCAAATCCACAGCTCAAACTTGTAAACCAGTAAAAATGTACCATGTTAAGCTTATATCTTAAGCTTCCATTTGCTGGAAACTCCCTTGTAAGGAGTAGCAAAAGCCAACTTCATTATTTATTATTACAACATTATAAGATAAGAAATACGCAGAGAAGTTCATACATAAAGCACTGGTGCCAGCAACGTAAAACCATACCTTAGTCCCACAAGCGTGGGCAACTAGCTAGCTAGGTGCTCGTACATATAATAATAGCTAGGTAGCATATTAATTACTACATAGAAGTCCTTTCGAAATGCAATATTATTTCTCCTCGTGCATGAACAAAACCTCCAGAGGATACATGATATATAGATGATGGCTCAAGAGAATTCAAGGGTTCCTGCTGCCACCAACACCAGGTCTCCCCCTTGGGTCATGTCTGCGGTTAGCTCCGGCATCGTCATAATCCAGCTCGTACTGCAAAAGCTTCCTTGTATTCACTTGGATGGCTCCATCCTTTACAAAGAGACAATATATATTTTGTTTTTGGTTTTTAAAATAATGCATGACCAAAGATACTCACTAGCTAAAAGAATATATATATAAAAACAGAAAGCTTTTAGGCTACCTTGTGAAGTGAGGGATACGAGTTCATTCCTTCATCGAAGCCCGCAACCAAACCTACAAATTATGTGAAATAAAATACTCTTTGTTAAGCTAAATCGTCATAAGTTGGGAATGAATTTAAGCTAATGTTGAGAAGTTAAATGCTAACCTGAAGACAAGGGAGCAAGGAGTAATAGGGACACCAGAAGAAAAGTCTTGATCATGCCAAGAGTAAGAGCCATGGCTAAATCTCAGTATTCTTGTTACGATAATGGCTATGGCCTTAGCATGAGAGGAAGTGGGAAGGGGAGAGAAGACTGCCTTTTATGGCTGGTGGTAGAGAGTGTCATTAAGAGCTATGATGATGCTGTGCTCCCACCGAATAGCTACACCATGATGATGAAATGCATTAACTTTTAGCCAACAGTTTCAAAGTCAACTTCACTGTTTTTATTCAGCATGAAACAAGCACAGGTAATTGTATGCATGTGTGAAAAAAAGCTAGAACAACCTTTTGCATGGCTTGAACTATGTTAGCCATTTTCAGCTTACCTTTTAGGAGTTAAATAATCTAACTTCTTTTGTTTTTTTTTTTTAAAAAAAGAGCATGTCTTCATGTATTTCTGTGGAGGCAGTTTAAAGAAATAAGTTTTTCAAAAAGTATTTTAGTTGTGGTTTTAAAAAAAAATGTGTATTTTGTTAAAATAGTTTTAATAAAATACATATTTTTTAACAAAATACATATTTTTATAAACTTATTTTTTTGAAACCACAAATAAAAATATTTAAAAAAAAACTTATTTTGCATATAAAATAAATAAAAAACAAGTCTTTATAAATAAAAATAGATTATTCTTATTTTTATAAAATCAAGATTAGAAACATAATTATGTGTGAAATTAAATGAAAAACAAAAAGTTATTTAACAAATATATAAAATATATTTTTTTGTTGAATAAAAAAAAATAATATAATATCAAACAATACCTCAATATCACTTTCTTTTCCGCATAGCACAAAACAATATTGTAAAATAGCATATTGCTCATCTAATGCCATCATATTGGCATTTACTTTAATTTGAAACGATATTGTCCAAGTAGTTTTATACCATTTATTTAGACATCTTAGGTCTGGAATAAGACTTCCATCGTGATATAGTCTTAACATTCTATAAAAAATTTGTTAGAAATAAATATTATTTTATTTAATGATAAAAAAATATTTTTTAGTTTTTTCTCTTCACATATTAAAACGAAGTCTAGAATTGCATTTCAAATAATATTTAATAACAAAATTAAAATTTATAATTACTTAAAATTATTTCTTATATTCTCAAATTATTTTAATATAAAAAATTAATTTCAAGTATTTTTAATAAAAAAGACTTCAAAAAATAACCGTTATTATATTTTTAAACATCTTCTAAAAATCTAATTTGTCTTAGCAACGTGTACTACTTATCAAACAAACCTTAATTTCTATATAAAACCAATTTTACCACAAGATGATATTAATACTTAGCAACTTTAAGACTTTTAAACAAGATTATATAAATATCTTGGTATAATCTTCTTTTATAAAGTAGGATATATGATAGTTACGAGAAAAACATATATGATTATAATTAAATTGCTTGAGTGTTAGGGTAAATTTAGTGATTTTATTAAAAGTAATCGAACATATTAAATGATCTCTCTATTTCGCATATAAAATTAAGATTAATTAGGAAATTTAACACAGTGTGCCCTGATTTTTTCTCTCTCGAAACAATAGGTTTGAGGATGACAAAGTCTAATGAATACCTACCATCGATCTCACTGGAAGATCCAGTGTGCATGGGAGGCATAATGGAATGGATTAATTGTCAAACTTCTTCTTGCGCACTGACTATTTCGTAGTGGGTACTGTTCTTCTTCCATCCATCTCCAACATCTTAAT